TCACTGAAAGTCTGGTCAGTTTGAATGTGATGCTTTCATTAGCCACTATTGTTAAGGCTTGATTTTGTTGTAAGTGTTTGTAGTTGGAGCTGAGCGGAGACTCAGTGAGCTGTGTGTGGAATCAGGTGCTTATTGTGAGAACACATTTCATTGTGACCGGTGTCTGGACGAGGGAGGGAAGTGTTTAATAAGCTGCCACTCACCAAGTTTCTTTAGTTTCCACTCACCCCTAGGTGAGGAAAGATCACCCGTCACCTCTGTTTTCCACGTGTCTGTGCCCATGTAGGTGGGTTTCCTACGTAAGTGTTTCTTAAATATAAGTTAATGGACAGAAATGGTCCGCTGCTATAAAGCCCGTCTGTCTGTCTGCTTGTCTCTGGGCACGTCTCTGTTTTAGTCCCTGCCACTAAAGACGTGAGGGGCGAGGAAATGATGCGGAGAAAGCAGAAGTGAGTCAACAGATTGTAGATAAAGTGAGACGTCCTTGCCTTTCAGGCGTCGTATGAAGCGATGTCGGTCTGCAGCACAGATGGATCATCTGTCAGCAGCTCTCTAATCTTTGGACACCTTGGATTTAGTATTTGCACAGATAATGTGATGCACTGTCCAGTTAATAATAAGAGTGAACAGTTACCACTGCCAGCCAGCGCCATTATTTATTTATATGTTTATTTTTTTCATTATTGATGTCCTCCCACGTGGCAAAACAGAATGTGAAATATACGTCAGTGTGTGTTTCTCCTTAACATTGTTATTCGTGCATGTGTTCATTGATATTCTCCTGGTAAGAGCATTACCTAACAGTCAGAATAATGTGTACAATGTGTCTATATATCATATCAAAATACAGTTCCAGCCAAAGGTTTACATACACATGACAAATGATATAATTATATTCATATATGGAAAACATGCTTCCTTTTTCACAAGAAAAGCATTCACAAATGGGGTTTCTTTAAGTAGTCATTAAGTCATTGTGTATCTTAAGAGATCTACAAATGTAATCTGTAAAGAATACACTCAGCACAGCTAGTATTGGGTTTCCCGTCTATTGAATCAGCCACTTTCAGTATCCGTCAACGACCTGGAAGACTCCTGTTTGGATCTCTTCTTGGTTTTCTTGCGTGGACGTTTCAGGGCTGTGCACATACTGTCAGTGGGATTCAGGCTTGACTTTATCTTGATTAAGACATCCCAAAACCACTTGTGATGTTTCATTTGGGTCATTGTCCTGTTGGAACACCCATTGAGAAAACCAAGCAGGTAGGACCACGCATTGAGACAGCTGGGAGTTTCTAGAAATGGAGTGAGTAAGCAAATTAGACTAGCGCTAAGTCAACAAGCAAGACAGCGTGTTAGTTAGCCAGTCATTCTTCAAACAACATTCAGACAGCTCATCAGTCCGATAACCATCCCCGCAGTGTGACAGCTGATCACCCAGTCAAGCAGATTAAGTGATCTCTGAGGATTACATCACCAAGAACTACACTTTATCCCAAATGAGAAGTCACAGCAGTCAGAAAGCACCAGCGTCATGTTGACCACACGTTCTGTGCAGCTGGAAGGAGTGACGGGTTGGTGTGACAATATTTTGACCCAGTGCATTCGGTCTAATCAGGAATGACCTCCTGGTAGAGTGGTACTACAGAGATCCTCCCTGTGTCATTCAGTCAGCGTGTCTCATTCAAAGGACTTGATGGAGGTGGTGGCTGCAGTCAGTTTAAACGCTGGGCACATTGTGGACTGAAGCAGCAAAGTCACTTTGCTTGCAGATGCTTTGCCAGTAACACTTTAGCACCTGTTGTGGTTTAGAACCGATGCTAATCATGATCTGTTGCACTTTAGTTGCCTTATATTGGCTTACTTTTGGTGAACATGAATGAGGTCATTAATCCTGTGTGTGTTTTGTTTCTGTTGAATGCAGAGGAGACGCTGCTGTAGCTTCACGCCTGTGACTGTGTGAGGACACATCCAGCCCCCCTGTTTTATCTGTCACCATTACATCTCGGCCCTTGATACCAAAACACAGCCATTAAGCCTTTCACAACCTCCCACTGCCACTGTCCCCCACGATGAGATTAGATCAATAAATGGGGTCAGCAGATCCACTGCTGTCAACTCTTCGCCAGAGGACTAAAGGATGTGGTTGCTGAGGCTCTAACGGTGTTACTGATTCCATCTTCCTGTGTAGGCCCAAAGAGAGAGCAAACACTCGCCTTCAGTGCTGTTGACTCTCTAACCTTGTCAGTGTTTAAGGTTGGCATGTGTTATGTTATATGTCCCCGTGGGGGAAATTTACAGTGAGCAGAATAGGGGATTCAAATGGGTGTAGCTCAGGGCTGTCACTTTTCCAGAAAATCAAGTTCGAACGAGTTAGAAACCCTACGCCATTTGTTCAAACTAGTCCTAAGAAAATCTTCTCCTCTGTCCTCTGAGGCTGGTGATGGAGAGATTTGTGCTGGTTATTTGACACCGAGTGAGTTACTTTACAGCTGAGTCAATGTTAAACCCTGCAGTCTCCAGGCTGGCCAGTGGAAGAGGTGAGTTTTGACTTCCTGACTTACAGGTCTTATCGTCCAACCATACAATTATTAAAAAAGAACCACATTTGTTAAAGACTAAAATATATTTCAATATTATCAAGGTAGATAATCTACCTTATTTTACAATTTACAGTGTTGCCTATCACATCATATTGCCTAATACATCCGGTCTGCATTTATCCCTCGTGCCCCTGAAATAATGGATTAAAAACTGCTCTTCTCTTTATGAAAGTAACACCAGTGATTGTCTGACCAGCCTACTGACCAGAAGGTGTCAGCCCTAATGTTGGGTTTTAATAAGGTCATCAAAAGAAAGCCGTTTACACACAGCCATACCGACAATGTGTTTTCTGTCCCTATAGGGTTGCCGTCCGCCATGTTAAGGTAAAGCCCAGGTGCGCGGTGTTGACCATGCTAAAGCGCTTGGACAAGATCCGCTTCCGAGGCCCCAGGACGAGGGACGACTTCCCGGACCTGGCCGAGTCGCCGCCCGCCTCTGACAATGAATGTAGCGACGAAATGCAGCTGAAGCCCAGAGCAGCACTGCGGGACACAGAAGACCCTGTGAGTGC